TTAAAATAACTTACCATTTATTGAGAAAATATTGAAGATTTTCATTAAAAAATGTAACTGTGGGCCGGGGATTTAGCTCAGTGGTTCCGGCGCCTGCCTTGCAAGAGCAAGGTCCCAAGTTCGATCCCCGGTACCAAAAAAAAAAAAAAAGAAATGTAACTGTAAAAAAAAAAAAAAACCAAAAAGAAATATAACTGTATAGCGCTAGAAAATCCCAAGTGGGCAGTCACTACTTATGGAAAATGCTGGCTTTAAGAGTTACATCTAAATGTAGATAACTGCAAAAGGAAGTACCGTCTGCCCTATAGACAGTGAATATACAATATACAGATCATGCTGTGGAAATATGTTATTCCTTCATAGCTCTGTATCTGACCATCTCCTCACATGTTACAGGATTATTGTGTAGAAAAACTTCCATATTGGAAAATGTGGAATCCATATTATACTGTGGAATTTGATGAGGGAATGTATTGTATTGAAGTTCATGCTTAAATCTTAAGAATCTTTCCTGGTATTATCTGTCTCGAGGTCTCCGTTTTCATTAACAAACGTAAATGTCCATTCTTGTGATAATCAGATTCACTCTTGAGCAGACCTCAAGTCACTATCTCCTTTTCCCAACTATTTTGATCGAGCGAGCTCCTAGCAAAGGATCATGGTGGTCTGAACACAAGCTGACAGAGTAAGTCCCATGGCTATTCTGTGGAAGCCTCTCCCTCCTCTCCATCCTGTTCTGTCCTCACACTTGCAGGAGATGCTCATGTATACATTGCACAGTATTTTTAAAAGGTTATCTAATTTGGTCCTTTAAAAACCCCTTTTTCACAAACAAGAACTTGAGGTTCAGGGAAATTAAAAGAGGTGTGAGGACTCAGACTTCCATCCAGATTTTCCAACGACAAGCTTTGCCTCTTTTGCCCTGGTCCCCAACCCAGTAAGGTTCATTACAGAATCTCATGCTGTAGGGCATCTTCTGGGCCCTGGCACGCTGCTGGGTCACCATTTCACAGTGGGTGAGAGGCACTGGTTTCCTAAACCTCTTTATCCCTCCCTCTTGAACACCCAGAGCAGTGCTGGGAGGTCAAATGCATCAAAAACACAAAGCACCTATAGAATTAAAGAAAATCTTCTTTAGTTTATTTTTTCCCATTATATTCATCTGATCTCCTTTAGTGGTGGTGATAATAATAATAAATAATAATAATTGTGATTACTATTCCTTATGGGGGACCTACATTTATTCAATTTTGCTAATTAATATAATGTATCACTTATCCTCACAACTCCCCAACAAAATAGTTTTTAATTACCTCATTATACACATGAGAAAGCTAAATGTAGAAAGACAAGACAACTTGCCCAAGACCCCAGTGTCCCAACGTCCCAGTGCCCGAGTGTACTCATGGGCCCCACTGTCCCCAAACCTGTGTCCAGTGTTACACTAGACAGCTCCATACTTCACAGATGTGGCAACACCTGTTACAAGCACCATCTACACTTGTTAAGCACCTATTCCTATCTGGAAGGATACTAGACTCAACAGAAAAAAATGGGTTAAATTGAGAATTTTTAATTTGGGGAATGATTAAGTCAGATTCAAGAAGTACTTTCATTCCTATTTGTCCTTTTGGTGCCATTTTCTGTCTTCTCTTCTGCTGCAGGGACATGCTGCTTATTCCTCAGAGTCAAGATGCCTTGCTACCTTTGCTACTTGTACTGCATCATCTTATCATATTTTCTTGTACTTATGCTTTGCTTATGTATCTAATTAGCTGTTCACAACTCTGTCTCACATAAGGATTTTGGAATCTCTATCCTTTTTATATGCTTGCTTAGGGCAGTATTCATTTGTAATAAGAATTTCTTGTATGTTTAAATGGTTTAGTCTACTTACCCCATATTGTAAATGTTCTTAGAACAGTATAGGTAATAAGCACTGCATCCCCAAATGTGATACATAAACAAAGTGTTTTATTTTCTTCCTTAAATTAAGTGTAGACTCAAGCTCTTTTTGTTAAGAATTTCAGGCACTCAAATTAGATACTCTCCAATGGTGTTTTTTTTTTTTTTTGGTCTTTATGTTCTGGTTACGTAGCGGGAGTTTATTCATACTGTTGCAATTTTTCAATATGTGGCATTAGAACAATGGGAATGAACTCTATTTCCAGAATTCTCTGCCTCTTTCTTTCTGACCTTGTGTCGTTTGATCCATACAATCCTTTGGTCCATAGGTTGAAAACAATTTTATTTTAATCTGTGTCTGTGTCCTATTTAGAGCATAATTCTTTTTGTGGACAGTAACTGAGCCATAGTGTGGTCCATCTTTATGATGAAAGCTATCCTAGATTTTGGAATAGTTGTCCCTTTTATTTTCAAATGGGAGAGATTAAAGGCAGAAACTAAAAACAGTTATATATAAGAATAATAATTTTTGACATATTATATTTTTATTTTATTGAAGTTGAGGTGACCCAGGTTGACTGTATTAAACCAAATCTAAAAGTTCCAAACCAGTTTGGCTAACATGCTGCAAATAATTTGAGAACAATCAATGGGATTAGCTCATCTATTGGATGGTCATTTTAGTTCTTGTTTTAATTGGCTGACCCAGGCATGCATGGTGTATGAATAATTTAGTTCCTATACCATACCATCATTCAGTTACTATTTAAAAATATTTATTTTTACCAGAAATGTTAGTTTATCAATTTTATTAGTTTTACTTATAATGATGACCAACTACCAATTTTTATTTCCTTCTGTGGGTGTTGGATTGATCTTTTGTCCAATCTTTAGATTAGGTAGATTTAGATATTTTTCTTTTTATGAGCACAAAATTCCTAAGCAATACCTTCTAAAGCTTATTAACAGCTATAGTAATTTATCACGTTGATACTATAAGTTAGTATCCTTTATCTGAAAGGTCTGTAGTCACAACTGTTTCAGAGTTTGAATTTTTTTCAGACTTCAGAATTTTTCCGTGTACATGAGATATTTCGGAATGAAACCTAAGTCTAAACACAAAATTCACTTATACTTGAATTATATTTATAGCCTGAAGGTAATCTGATACAATATTTTAATTCTGTGGGTGAAACTAAGTTTCATGGTGGGAAATTTTTCACTTGTAGTGTCACATTAGCATTTCAAAAGTTTTGGATTTTGGAAGATTTCAGATTTTGGATTTTTGCATTAGGGTTTCTCAATCTCTAGTATAGTGTTTAGGTGGGGTCACAGAAGCTTAGAAAGGCTGAGAACCTTGTTGAAGTTTGTATAAGCAGCAAGAGCAGAAGAACTTTCAAAACCAGGTATGTCTGAGGTCAAAATGAGTTTTAGCCACTATCATATTTTGCCTATTTTGGATCATGGCTTCAGCTTTCTGTCATGTTTCTCACTATCTGCAACTTTGGGGAGAATTTGAGGAGTCGACTTATCTGTAGTAAGCACTCCTATTAAGATATCTCTACATAGTAGTATTTCTATAAACATACTGTTCTGAAAACAAGAAGAGAGGCCCACCTTTATAGCTTGCCTGTTGAACTCTGTATCTATGCACTCTGACAAAAGACACTTTTGCTACAGGACGGATTTTATTCAGAAAATTTATCACTAATAGAGTAACCCAAGATTACATTATCAATATAAATATTTTAGTAGAAAAAGGTGGCAAACGTGCATAAATTCTGGAATAACTTCCTCTGGTGATGTAAATGTTTATGGTAACATCGAAGGAGAGAAAAGATGTGAATTGAGTTGGTGGTAGTCATGGTGGGACAAAATACCAAAAGGTAGATTAAACTGTTTTTAGTTATAGTTTGTGGCAGTAAGTATTTTGACCTCATGATCTTTGACCCTGGTGTTATTCCTGTGGATATGTTATGCTTCATGGAAAAAGGATTTTACAGATGTATGGCAGGTTAGAAATCAGATGACTTTAAAATAGGAAGATTAGCCTGCTTTACTGAATAGGTTTGAATCTGTATCACATGAGACTCTAGACATGGACATGTTTCTCCTGTTGGGTAGGGAGGAACCAGAGATTTTAAGCATGAGGGTTTCATGTAATCTTGTTGATCTGAGAGGACCACAGGTGAAGGAAACAGGGACTTCAATCCTACAGCCACAAGAAGCCAGATTCTGCCCACAACCTGAATAAGCTTGTAAGCAGAATCTTTCCCGGGGCCTTTGGACAGGAGCCCAGCCCAGCTGGCACCTTGTTCTAGACTTGTGAGGCCCTAAGCAATGGTTTAGGTGAGTGACACAGTGCCTGGAGTTCTGCCTCATGGAATTGGGAAACAATAAATGCGTCTGATTTTAAGTCATGAAGTTTGTGGTAATTTGTCATGGCAGGAATGAAAAACTGGTAAAGCACATAATTGATCAGTTCTTTTTTTTCATATGACCCCTGTAAGAATTTTCAAGAGAAAAATTATTTATTCTGGATAGTGCATAGTACATTGTTATAGTAGTTGATTAGGAGTTTGGGGATGGGTAGATGCAAAAGGGTATAATTTCATTGCCAACTCTGTTGCAAAAATCAGTCTTTCCACCACAAATTCACTCTGTTTTAGACCTGTCTAGTGAACCCTAGTTTAAATTTAGGAGAACACACAGTCTGTGTGTTCAGAAATGCACGATCCAATCTATTGAAAACACCAGAGGATTAGATTGTTTTATTTTTCAGGTCTCACCACTGAATCAATAGCATCTATCAATAATTGCAAAACATTTATTTTATAAGGTAGTAATGGTGAATTGCTAAAATAAGGTGTAATAAGAGGTAGATGGTAAGTCTAGGGTCAGTGGAGACTTGCTTTATTATATAGAATATAAACCATTTCATGGTGTCATAAGTAACTAGTCCTAAGGGAAATCAGTAAGAAATATTTGTGTTAAAAATGAGATATGGAGTTCAAAATTGAATACCGATTTGGAATTTGAAAAATCAAGTCAGAAATGTAGAAATTTCTATTTTTCCTTTTCCTTTTGTGTTGCAGATTAATCTTAAAGGAATTGGTGAAATTTATAAGATACGGATTGGCCATGACAACAGCGGGAAGGACCCCAAGTGGTATCTGGATGAAGTTAGACTTGAAAATATGGCCACACTTGAGCTGTTTTGTTTAACTGTTGATTCCTGGATAGCTGACGATGAAAATGATGGTGATGTATGGAAAGAAATCTCCATTGTGACTACTAATAAAGCACCATTGCCAGGTGTTTAATTTCATTTTCTTCATGATGTGTATTCAAAATTAAAATAACTGAGCTAATTTGGAAGGGAATGGTACCTTTTTTCACACAGGGTCAGACACTAAGCGTTTTGTGGGCCATAAAGTCTCTGTCTAAACTGTTCAAGTTTGCCAGGCAGTGAGACAGCAGCTGCAGACAGTATATAAACACAAGGCATGGCAACATGCCAATAAAGCTCTCTTTTGTGGATATTGAAATTATAATTTTCATTTGTCAATAAACAATATTCTGTGTTTGGTTTTTTTAAGCCAATAAGAAACATAAAAAACCTTCTTAGCTCCTGGGCTGCACAAAAATAGGTGTCTGGCAGATTTAGCCCTGAAGTAGTATGTAGTTTGCCCACCTGTGTTTTAGAGTCTTAGGCTTTATTTCTGTTCAAGATGAAAAAGTACATGCAAAGATGTATGTGTGTGGACAACTTTCTATAAGCTGCTTTGTTGCCTTTTAAATGTGACTTTCCTCTTGGCTGTTCTGTTAATAAATGTTAGCAATCATGGACTTAGGAGAACATGAATTCCCTCACTGAATATTTTTTGTTGTTGCCTTGGAGCAAATTTGCATATTGCCTCTATTTGTTTCTCTTTCCATTTCCATTTTTTTTCCCAGTCTTTGCTTAGTAGCTCACAGGTGCTTTGAGCCCACTACATGACAAACTGAAGACACCTTCCGTGGTCCTCCAATCATATTGAGGTTCTCCAAATGGAGTGTCTGGATTTTCTCCACCACCTTCATACTGATTAGCCATCAAGCACTCTAATCATCTGTATTCTGAATCCTTGTTAGAATGATGGATGGCACCGAGCATACAACTGTGTGTCAGAAAAATACATGCTACTTAATTTAGATATGGCAAGAATGATTTGGGATAAGACCAGCTTAATGATACAAAAAATCTATAATACTAGTTCTTTATATTTGCATATACTTTGATAGTTTACAAAGACATTTGTTTGTGTACAATCTTATTCAATACACAAGGCTCCAGATCCCACTGGTTCTAGCTGCCCTACAGTCACAAAAACATCTCGTAACATCCAGAAGATGCTGAGGTGAAGATGTGAGGGGTCCTAAGAAATTTAGGGTCCTGACTTTTACCCTGCACATCCTGGGACCTATCTACTTTGCCCAGCCAATTGCTAACACCCGTGAAGAAATTCACTCAGCTTAACAAACACACACACACATATTTTAGAAGAATTTTTTTTTTTTGGTTCTGGGTATTGAACTTGGGACCTTGTGCTTGCGAGGCAGGCAGCAGAACCACTGAGCTAAATCCCCGGCCCCAAGAATTTTTAAGCATACAGTACCAACAGGTGGCCTACTATATTGTTACTTCTCAATCTGTAGCATTTTAAAGGGCTTCCTTATTTTAAAATGGATTTTATTTAAACTCTACTAAATATTTTATATTTCTTCCAGTTGCCTCTTATTTGGCATATGAACAATTTTTTACATGCGAAAAAATTAAAGAAGGCAGTTATGTTAGTTTTTTAAAAATCTGAGAAACAAAGGAAACTGCATTGTACTTTAAATGAACTATTGATGTTGGGCTCATTTAACTTGAGCAGCAATAAAGGCTCAGCATGTCTCCCTGTATCTTTCTGTTCGTGCTTTCCCCAAAATAGCTAATGAAACTTCACCCATTAGCATTTCCCATTTCAAGGGGTAATTTCTTAGTAGAAGCATGCCTACTAGTTTTTCAGGCAGTTTTCCAACAGAATAATATGATGATACATAGAGCTAATTTGATCCATTCTTCTCATTTTTCTCAGCCTCTGGCAAATCAACTCACCACCCCCTTTTCCAGATTGAATATTTGCTCATGTAGGAGAAAACCATTAAAATAAGAAAATGAAAAAACATGACACCTCAATATTCGGGAATTAATTAGAGACCAAAACTTATTGGTGATCAAGGGGCAAACTGAATTTGTTAATCTTAATATACTGAGTGCCACCTTTTAGAAAATCATTCTTGGTGCCACCAAGGGCTTCTTTGACCATCTTATGACTCAAGTGATCCCACAGCAGATTCAAACCACTGAACTGATACTTTTTTTGTTTCAGTTTAAGAGGAGGAGTTAGAGAGTTTTATTATGGATAGATGAGTTAGGTAGAAATATTATAGGCAGTCAGATAGGGTTATATCCTCAAGAGGGCCAAGACAGACGCCCATCCGATGCTCTCTAAGCTGCGGCGACTGGCCAGGTGAGACAAGCAGCTTGAAGCTCCACGGCCATCCAGGGCCACCCCACGGCACCGTGAGGTCCGCTTAGCCTCACGGGTGCTTCCAATGCTCAGTCCCCCCCCATCCCCCCCCCACACCCCCGTGCGCCTCCTACCTTCTCACTTTTCTGCCTCCTGGTCCCACACTACAGAGGCACAGGAGATTATAAAGACCCTTGTCCTGAGTGCCACAAGATAGAGCAGAAGTTAGTAACAGAAAGAGGGCTTCTCAGGCTCCTCCATGAAAACTGAAGCTCAGCATAAAAGTAAAGAGAATCTCTACAAAAAAGGCACACCAGACCACTGTATATGCACATATATGCACAGGGATTCCTACGTTGCCTACTGTGACAGCAGAGACATACCCTGAAGGAGGCCCATAATTTCTCTTGCTGTTTGCAAAAAAGAAAAAAAAATATTTTTTCTCTTATTTGAAATTCTTAATTTTTACTTTTTTTCTACTCTTCAAAGTTTTACTTTTCTTTCTTTTATCTTTTATTTCTCTTTCTCTCATTCTCTCGCTGTCCCACATTGCTCCTCTTCTCCCCATTTGTTCCTTTCTGCACTGAATTCGGATTTCTCCCTTATTGTTTTTTCTTCTCTTTTTCCTTCTCTTGATTATCATTAGGTTTAAAAGAAAGTAAATTTGGTATCTAGCCTCCCTGTTGCTGTTAGGTGATTCTATTCACATCTTTGTTCTTTCATTCTGCC